AAAAACTAAAAATTTACATTCCCCATTTTATATCAATTTATTCAACATAGGTAAGTATAACAATCTTTTAGTGAAACCAGACTTTATTTTCCAACAGGCAAGGGTTTAATAAAGCATTTCCCAATAAATTATCAAATTAATATATATTGTGTTATATAGGATAGATAAGATGCATTAGACCTATCCAACAAGCTTCCACTGTGGGGGTACAAAGTATAAAGTTTAGAAGGAACTGCAGCCAAATCCAAGGCAGAATTTTGGAGTGTTTCCATCAACAGGAAACTTACCAGTATTGCAAAATACCCTAGGACGCAAACATACACTTTGGGACACTTCTTGGATTGGCACTAGAGTTAGACAACACATGCTGGCCAACAGGGCAAAATGGAAGGAAAGCAAGCAAGCAAGCATGGCCCCTCCACTCATACCCTGTGCAGAGGTTGCAAACAACAACAACAACCCAGCAACCAAAAAAAAAGAGTTTATTTTTTTTTTTACTTTGATACCAGAAATAGGAATTTAAATAGAACTTTACTTTGAAGCAGAGAGGAAAATTGGGTAGAAATGAAAGAATATAAAACAAGTCTCGCATTAAAATTATAGTATTGGCTCAGTAAGCTACTCAGCAATAAAAGAAAAAAAGGCGAAGTAGGATAAAGAGTGGAAATGGACACCAGGGGGCTGAGCCCAGAATTATATTCAAAGTATTATACAATTTATTTGCAATTATTCCATATTAGTTCCTGTTTTCCATTACAAAAGTTCAGTGAGGAGCAATGGAAAAATACCTAAAATATGCAGCTCATAAATTTTTACTCTCCTTTGCTGAAAGCAGTCAAGCTCATTTGGAAGAGGTGAATCAGATTACTGGGCTCATATTGCCCATGGCTTGTAGATTGCCTTTCTACCCATGATGTAAAGCAAAAGCTTGTAACTGGTGGTCTTTTGCCCATATAGTTGCCAGCATTTTTTATTGCACAGGTTATGGCTTCGGGCAGCTGTATTTCATTAGCATCTGACATGTCAGAAATTTCCACACCTTCTTTAAAGTATATGCACATTTTAGGGAGAAGCAGTGTGCAGGTCACATTTTAAATATTGAAATGTTATCCATATACATAGAAAATAAACAAGGAATACAAACTCCACTTAGAAAACAATGCCCAATATTAAATTCATTCATTCACTGCACCTTTTTAGAAATAATTCCTTTTAACTTCAATATAACAATAACTGGTTATATTTGTAGTAAGAGAGCCAGTTTTGTACGGTGGTTAAAAGCACCAAGCTAGAAGCTAGGAGACTGTGAGTTCTCAGGCATGAGGCAGTTGGGATGACGTTAGGTGAGACTTTCAGCTTAGAAGGAAGGTAGCCACTTCCAAAAATGTTGCTAAGAAAACTGTAAGGACATGTCTATGCAGTAAGAATGATTTGAAAGCATATGCACACATATACCGGGGGGGGGGGCAAGGTAAAGTTCTATATAAATTCCTACTTCTGGTATCAAAAGTAAAAAAATAAACTCTTTTTTTTTTGTTGCTGCTGGGTTCCTTTTTCTTTCCCGTATTTTTCCTATTATTTTCTTTTGTATTTTTGTATCTTACAATATTAATATATAAATAAACTAGATTTATTCATACCAATTGATCACAGAAGGCAGAGAAGGTATGTTCAGCTTTCTTTCTCTTGAGTGCTGAGACTGTTTGCTTTTGTTTTTAACATTTAAATATTATCTGAATATGCATGTGCACACCCAAAAGTCCCTTCTACTGGGTTTGCATTGAACCAAAGACTACTAGAAACGTATGTCCTTCTATTTTAGAACAACCTTTTTATTTGTAGTTTTAGGGACCTAGATAATACAAAAGAGGGGCACAAGGACTATAGGTTCTGGTCCACTGTGATATTTTGACTTGACAATCGTAATAGGACAATCAAAGCCAAAGAGCAATAAATATCTTTGTGCTTGTCCATGAAAATAAATTCCTATAATTTGATTTAAACCAATTATCTTATTCTACTCTTATAGTATAATATTATATTATTATTTTTATGAATACAGATTGTCATGAAACCTTAACACATTAAACAGTCTTAAAATGGAGCTGCATTAGTTGCTCTAACAACACCTTTTAAATAGTATTCTCTGAAGTGCAAATCAGTATGTTGAATGGTGCTAATCCATTTAAAATTCATATGCTTCAAGGAGAACAGGAAAACCTTACAATGTCTATCAATAAACCCTTTAATCAGTAGCTCATACCATGAAATATGAGTCAGTGTCAGCAGTAAATACCAGTATAATGACAAGCTACAGAAACCGTAGCAGAAAATAAGTCCCCTTTAACCTATTTATTGTTGATCAAGGCAATTAAAGATGAAGAGAAGGGGTACTTCTCCAACTTTCTGAAATACCTTTATGGACAATAAGAGAATCCAATTTGACATATTTTTAAGTGAGTTGTATGTTGATATAATAAACATGGAGCACTGACATGTATGCTATTCCCAAAATCCTTTCTCAAAGACAATTTTAAGTACCATACCATCTCCTTTAATAATGCTCCTTGAAAGTCGCATGGGTTCTGCTTCATAACAGACTTCCTATTCATAAAACACCTAGAAATGGCCAACAAAATCTTATTTGACTTAAATCTTGCTTGCAACATGCTGTGACCCTACCTTCCACTTCTTATTGGCTTTCAGTTTAGTTCTCAAGAGTCAGGACCTAGAAACAGACAGCATTACCAGCCACAATGTCTGTCCAGTGGCTAACTAATTTATATAGTGATTGAATCAGAACCTGTTCCCTTTCAATGAAATCAATGTTATGAATATTTGGTTAACAGGGAACAGTGCAAAAGACAGAAATGGCCCTTGAATAAGTAGATTTCTTGCTGGGCAAAATTTATGGCTCTCTGTTTTCCCCCCAAAATTGCTTGTGGTGAAAAGAAATGTAGCACATGAGTGCAATATGAAGGGCCGTTACCAATACCATACTTTCCATGGATTTCCATGCTGTGCAAATGCAGGATTTCTCATTTTCCTCAACCTACTATTTAATGAGAAATGGGGAGGTTAATAGAAAGATCATTTTTAATTTCTGCTTTTCCTGTGATCCAATGGTAATAAAAATGTACATATTAGAACAGATTCTGCAGGTAATCTTAGCTCATAAATACTTCTGAAAACTCATTTAATGTTTTGTGCATAGTAAAGGAATTTATACAAACTCAAAGTATATTCCTAAGTCATATTCCCCTTCTCCCTATTCAGGCCTATATGTACAACCCACTTAACATCTGTTTATTGGAAAATGAATGGCAACTAGTTGCTCTAAAACTTAAACACATCAAAAGTTTGGATTCATTTTATGGGGGGAGTCACTTTTGAAGTGCTGTACAGAGATTGATAAAATTGGAGAGGAGGGGATATTTTATTTGCTTTTTTTCCCAAACACAGTGACAAGATGAAAACAATAAGGCATGTAGCTGCCAGGTTTTCACTCTTGGACTTTATTTGGATCCTGGACTTTATTTGGATACTCAAGCTGGAGGTTGGCACACAGCCTCTGTGCCTTAAGAGCTACTTTACATGAGGAGATTCAAGAGCTTCATTTTTTTTTCTGCAGAAAGATAATGCTATTTTCATGTACAGGAATTTCTGCTGGTTCTACCCCTGTTCTGAACTATTGTTCTCTGTACTCAGAAGTGTCTGCTGCTGCTTCTTTCTTTCACATTATGTGAAACATTATGTGCTTATGAAAGTTGCTCTGGATCTTAAAGTTTTACACCTACACAGATTACAGCTACCTGCCAATGACAGTCCCAACAGGTCTCTGCTATATCAGCATTTATTCAAAGTGTTGTATGTGAAGAGGATATAATCTGAAATTTGCCAGAGACAGGAAATGCCTTAACCTGGGATTTAAAATGGGATAGCACTGGAGGAAGAACAGCTTGACCTCCTTCTGTTTCTTAAAACATGTGTAAGAAAAGGAAATCTTTTGGAAGGGCCATGGTAGTTTGTGGTGGTCAAAAATCAAAAAGAGTTGTGTGGCATCTTTTCAGAATAGCAAAATTTATTTTAAAAACATAAGCTTTAATTTATTTCTTAGTCTGAAAACATGCTACCAGAGACCTCTTGATTTTGGAGAAACTTTGAAAATAAAAATTAATAAACAAGAAATTAGATATTCTACAAGGGCAATATGAAAAAGTTATGAAAATAGTTGGCATAAAATCAATTTCCTCTCTAGTTACTGAGACCTGTAAGAGTTGACTTAAAAGAAAAAGAACATCACTGCTTATCGAAAGAAGTCACTCTTGTACAGGCTGTGTTGAGGGCAAAGAGAATAACCTCTATTGGGACACCCAAAACATAGAATTAAACTCCACAGAAGTGAAGTGGGCTCCAAATTTATTTCCTGCACTGAAACATAGAGAACATAATAACTCTACTTTAAAATTCTGGCTTTGGGCATATCTTATTCAGAGAGAGTGAAGAAACGTTATGTTCTAACTTACCATAGCAATCATGTAGACTCAATCTTTACAAATATCCAGTGCCCAAAATCATACTGAAAGTTCACATATTGCACTAACTATGGTTTGATTAAGCATTATCTCTTTAAAACTCCATTACATACTAAAGTCATAAATCATGGTTTATATACCACAACAGCTGAGTTTGCACAACCAAAACAAATCCAAAACTATATCATAATCTGTGAACCCAAATATGAGAATAGTACAAGAATTGGAAAATCACAGATAAGATAGATGAATGGGATCAAAAAGATTACAAGAATGTAATCTTGACGAGCAGCAAGGTATCTATAGAGATGGACAGATAAGGTGACTATTTGTGCAATTACTAGGAATCAAACATAGTCAAGCACCTAATCTCTGTTCTGTTTAGTGACACCACAAAACCAATGCCACTAAGTTATGAAAGTCTTGTCCTTCCTGAATGAATAATAATATTTGGGTTATACATACTTCTCCATATGGAGTACAGGAAGTTTCAGGTTGGGTAAGTCCACAGGTGGAGGAGGCCTTCAAATAATGGATTCTTCCTATAAGAAGATCCTGTGCATGTGGGTAGCAGGCCCCATGCAGACAGGTTCTTTGTGCAACCAGGAGGTATGGAGAGGCTAGAAAGAAATACAGAATCGATTTTAACAACAGTATTCATTAAGAGAAAATAGGATAGAAATGCTGCCCTTTTTTTCTATATTGAGCAGCTTCAAAGAAGTAATGCAAAATAACATAATAGCTACTCAAGTTAAGTGACTATCTACAGAATTAAGGAACTTCTACTTTAAATTTCACTTCTGCAATAAACTAGCTATTAAATAGCCATACAAAAGTCATTCAAACTGTAATCCTCTGTATATACATCAGACTAGAAGTAAGAACCCTGTGAAGCTTCCTACTGTTAGTCTTAACTTGCTAAGTTGCAATGTGTGGATAATTCTATGGCTTTACCTTATAGCACTGTCATAAAGATTAGAGAGACCATGTATGCTAAACAATGCAACAGCTGTAAAAGCAGTAAAGTGCTAAATATTATTCACCCATCCAATAAATGACTTAATTTTCTCCTATCACAAACATAGCAATATGCAATGTTATTTCATTAATTTACAAATGCCCTTTTTAGAAAATAGTGCAAAAGACACATGGACCTAGAAAACACAAAATAAATCATTTGTATCTGTGAACCAGAACTATTCTTTAATAAAATGTTCTTAATTGTGACAGTATACATATTTGCTAAAAACATATAACATGCAACCAGGTTACTGTGTGACCATAGTTCCCTTAAGATATGTACAGGTCCCACTATATTAGATAGAGTGGACTCACTCCAGGTCCCCGCTTTTAAATGTTATCATCTGGTAGGACCTAGAAAGCCAGCCATTTCTGTAACTGCATCTACCTTCTATAATAGCTTCTTCCTGATCTGAGGAGGAGGATTACACTCCTTACAGTCTGGAAGGCCCTGAAGACCTGGCTTTCCCTCGGGTACTGTGCCTGGAGGGAAGGGAAGCCTTGTGATGGATTGTTCTTGATGGTTTGAAAGATTTTTATTATTATAATTTTTGTCTTTTGTTATTTGTTCAATTGTTGTTAGCCCACAATTATTTAATAAGGACACATCTACAAACCTACAAACCTTCTTTTGGGCCCATGCCCCAAAACAGCAAAGTGAAATCCAACTGAGTCATTTTTTAAAAAAAATTGCTTATACCTAATGAACAGATCTTGCCAAACTAAACTGTAACCTTCTAACCTACTAGATATATCCTAAGAGATTCTAGGGTGTGGCTATCCTGAATCTCTTCCTCCCTTTCCTCCAACCAGCCCAGGACTATGAAGTCTCTTGATTTGAGCTTCTCTTTGGAATGCACTATTTTCCCCCTGGGAAACCATGGTGCTCATGGCCAGGATCCCCTACACACACACACACACACACACACACTACTTCTCCAGATGCACATTCCATTGCACCTTGAGATAATCTGCTTCTTCCAGTGTTCTCTATATTACCTCACTATGTTCTCCACATAGGGAAAAGGATAATTATTCGGCATAAACAGATCCAAGGCAAGGCTTTTGAGGCTAACTAGCATTAATAGGAGATATTAACTATTGTCTGGATCTACCTTATCTAGTCTATCTAATATTTTTCACTTGCATACAGAGAAAACACTTACCCAGAAGAAGGAATATCCACATAATGATGAGCTTCACAACATTCAAGAGTTACCTTAAATGAACATAAAACATATATTCAATGACAAAGATGATAGCATGGATATGACAAATTATTAACCTTTCTTTAACATTGCTTTGCAATGTTGTTGTTGTTATATAATTGCAAAACAATCCTAAGAAGTAAGAGGAAATGTCAATGAAAGGGATTACAGGTAGACCTCAACTTACGACTGGCCAGTTATAACAAACCCAAGAAAAGGGACGTACAACCCAGATTCAAAGTTCTGACAGTTGGGTTTCCCCACCACCCACACTCTGGGATCAGGTGACTTTCAGGCTGAGCACTCAACAACCACAGCAATAGAGATGAACTGCCAAGAGACTACTACAAAATCTAAGCATGAAAAAAATAAGCATATACAGTACAATAAAGCCATGGTCACCACTGTCAATCCTGCTTCCCAGGTTCTATGAACAGTGATATGATTCATTATAAGATCAATAAACAGATGCAAAGAGAGCTGATCATTAGTGAAGACCCCCAAGAGTGTGAGCAGAAGAACAATATGGAAGCCCTGTTAGAAATAAATGGGAAGCAATAAAAATGGGAAAAATAAGCAGGTGGAGACACAATATGCTCTGTCTTGTTCATATTCTTGAGATGATGAAAAAGAGAAGATGAAACACTACTGTCCTGAGGCATTCTATCATGGCTAGCCATGAATTGTCATCAAGAATAATAGACCCAAATATCATTGGTTTAACAGTGACACTGAAACCTGGAATGATTTTTTGCTAATAGCACAGATGTCAAGAGAAAGATAAGTATACAACTAGGCATAAATGTCTTATAATCCATTGCATTTTTATGTAAACTAGTGCTTGACTGATCTATGGCCCAGTAAAAAACCACATGCTATACTGGGTGTTATTTTTATGTACATCCCATGCAAAACCAGGCCAGAAATAGACACAGTCTAGTCCAGGCAGATGCCAGGAATCGACACTGCCACAAAAGCATAAAAAATAAAAATAATAACCTTTCAGTCTTCCTGATCAAAGATAAAAAAACAATTCCAGAACATTATTTTCATTTATGTCCTCTATCTCTTACCATTTTTTTCTCCATTAACCTTTTGCACATTTATTTCAAATCTCTTGGGGGAGGATCTTACAAACATAACACTTTCTTCAAAGTATTCGTCATTTTCAAAGCATTAATCAACTGCAAAGCACTAAACACTAAACAAGGTTTAATCTATTCTTTCCCATGAGCAAAGTGGACTAAACTTCTATCTGACTTTGAAAAATCTGATTATTCAGAGAGATTTTTTTCTACCTTTCAAGCACCAGGTTTAAGAACAAGATCATGCACATCACACTGAAATGTAACTATCTAAAGCGAGGAGGGAGCTTTTAAAAACTTTACCCGGAGCATGTGCTTTAATCCCTACTGTTAGTGCTTTTAAAAAATATCTGTTTCATTCTGGGTAACAATATCTCCATTATCTTTCCCAAAAGCTCCATGTCATTTATTAAGATAAATGATTCGAAACCAATGAAACCAATAAATTTTGTTATCTAATCCTTATATAACCAAGAATCAGTAGATTTCTAGATGTTCATCAATAAACTCCCAGCTAAGATTCAGAAATACTTTACCACCAATACTTGCTAGAGGGGATGATTTACAGTTACCAACATTGTACTACATAAAACATACCTGCACTATCCTGTCTTTTTCCTTCTCTTTTGTGCAGGGGTCAGCTGGAATCCCTCGCCTGGCTTCTTTAACTGTAGTCTTTCACTCTCCGTTTTAAACACATCTTACCTGCAGATGTAAATTCCTGTGGGTGTAGTAATAATGATATAAGGAGTGATTCAAGGACCTTTTCAGACAGACACACCCATCTACTGTAAAATTCACTATAGAGCCTCGACTATGAACTTGTGTTAGCTCACTGCAAGTAAAAGAAGAGATCTTTGTCATTATACATTCAAGAATACACATTTCTATCAAATTGCAAACATTCCATGAGAGAAGTTTGGATTTTCTTTCACTGCATACAGCAGAGAAAGTTCTTGGCCAAAACAAATCTTTTTACTGAGTGAAATGGGTAAGCAAGGGAAGCAGAAAGAAATGACAAAATAGAATAGGATCTTTTCATACAGGGATATACTCAAGGAAAGCAATTTATAAGTTAGACGCCTTTCAGGCACCCAGGAATAAAAACATATATACACAATAAATGTATATATTGGTAGAATTCCAATTCATATAACCAGTGTTCAAAGAAAAGAACTACAGATACGATCAAATAAAATAGGGGGAGGGTAACACACAACCATTACACTGCTACTTCATGCATATTATATAGCTTAATAACACACATTCTTTAGGACAGGAACTAGATATAGCTATAGATACACCTATAGGTATAAGGATAAACAATACCTCCCATACTGAGGTTTGCATATGTATGGCTTTTACCGATATCACTATTGATAAGAGAAATTACTGGAGAGATGAGCACACTATTTCCAGAAAATAAAAATAACAAGCTTTAATCAACTTGATGTCTTCCAGCTGAACTTGAACTAACTTCCACATTCATTAACCAGCATGGAGCTTTATGGGAATTGGTCCAAATAGCAATCAATAAGGGAAGTAGAAATCCAACAGTTTCTAAAAGCATCAAATTGCAGAACTGGACTAATCAGCTAATGTCTATTATGAACATCATAATGAGCACTAGCTTCAAAATGGTGAGTCCAAAGGGATGGGGCTTGTGATGGAATGTAATTTGGATTCCAAGAAGTGAGGCATAGATGGCAATGCCATGAGCATCTTCTTGCCTGCCTTAAACCTCCTATTATGCTGCTGATTATAGAACTAGAACAATTGGATTCACAAAACACACTAAGAGTCCTAATGTGATTTGTTTGATTTTAGTTCATCATGTTGCATGAATCTTTAGTTAAACAAACGATAGTTCAGTACATATACATGTGAACCAGCTACCAATCTGTTAAGATTTTAATTCTTAAAATGAAAAACAAGATATACACCTTAGATATTTGAAAAAGAAGGAAAAAAAATCACAAAATCAGTTTGTGTCCTTAGGCATATAAAATCTGAAGGATTATCTGGGGATTTTCTCCTTCTTGGGTGTGTCAAGAATGCTTGATAAATGGGTAGAGATCCTGGGTGTGCCTTCTTTTGTACTGCTTGCTCAGACTCCAATTACTCATATGTTGATGCCAACTTTTTCTCTGTGGAATCTTGGCTCAACAAATCACCTTGCAGACAACAGCTCTCAGCATGCCGAAAGAAGATTAGCAGAAACTAGCAAAAGACAAAATGGTGAGGACAACATCCCAAAAAAGCATTACATTAAAAAATAATTCCACAAAAGAATAAATCCAAATAGTCTAGTCAAATACCAGGAGCAAAAACATTTTCTTTTTCTCTTTCTAAATTGTCATACAGAATACCGAACTATAACAAGGAAAGAACAACTAGACAGACCATTTAAATATAGAACTATACCTGTGATTGATCACTGAACATCTCTCATTCATTCTACCATATCATGCATCTATATGAATCGGCTAAAAACCAGTCTATCACCACTTTGAGCCCACTTGAGCTAAAGTGTTATAATGTCCAGCCAGCAAATAAGAAATGGCGAGAGTTGTAATACTATAATCTACCTTAAGATCACTGAGGTTCAGGGTTACATGCAACAGACAAAAGTCTTAAGTTGCCACCAAATGGTTATTTTTAATGTACTAGAAGAGGAAGATTATTAACTATATGAATATCAATAGTATTAACTGTACATACTTATTTTTATTTATAACAGAATATAACAGAATAACAATTGGAACGGATCTTGGAGGACTTCTAGTCCAACTCCCTGTTCAAGTGGGAGATTCTGCTTTAGACAAATGACTGTCCAATCTCTTCTTAAAAACCTCCAGTGATGGAACACCACAACTTTTGAAGGCAAACTGTTCCACTAATTAATTCTTCTTACTGTCAGGAAAGAGCAACCTTAGTCTCCAATTCTTCTTTTATTACA